GGCGAGTATCCTCTTCCGCCAGACGCCATTTCCTGCGTTCGTGCAGAAGAGGAGACCAAGCCAGAACGGCCATGGTACTGGAGAAGTTTCGTGCCGCGCGAAACTCCCTCCGAATGGCTATCAGGAAGACAAAAACCAGGGCCTGGGAGAAGTTAACCTATATCCTGGACAAGGATCCATGGGGACGACCCTATAAAATAGTGCTCAAAAAGTTGAGACCAAGAACGCCCCCGATCGCGAAGAGACTGGATCCGAGACTCCTCGGAGACATCGTAGATACATTGTTCCCTGTGGGGGGAACTGACATCTCTCCCCCCACGCCACTGGCAAGGTGGCCCGAGGAGCCCGAGGTCTCTGACGAAGAGATGGCCGCGGCCCGGGATTTGGCGGAGCAGCTAAAGCGCCTGGTCCCGACGGAATCCCTAGCCGGGCATGGGTCCTGACTGTGAGTGTGGTGGGCGACCGGCTGAGGCGGCTTTTTACCGCTTATCTCAGAGCCGGCGCCTTCCCCTCACGTTGGAAGAGGGCAAAGTTGGTCCTCCTCCACAAAGATGGTAAGCCGCCGGAGCAAGCCTCCGCGTACCATCTGTTTGCTGGACGAGGCGGATAAGCTTTTTGAGCGTATAATAGTAGAACGCCTCGTTCTGCACTTGTCTCGAGGTGGTCCCACAATTAGTAATATAATATAATAACCAATTATGACGATAAAAAAACATCAGATGACGATCATTTGTCTACTTGAGTATAAAATTCTATCATATTGTATAAACGTTTGTCTTAAGGGTCATCTTAAATTAAGTCTCACAGTAACGTCTTATAAACTAATCAAGGGACATCTCAAAAGACGTTTCTAAAATCGTCGAAAATTAGTTGACATAAGACGTTTCATAGACGTTTTAAATTCGTCTCTCTGACAGTTTTGTTTTCAGATGTTTTTTTATCGTTATAATTGGTTATTATATAATATAATAACCAATTATGGCGATAAAAAAACATCAGATGATGATCATTTGCTACTTGAGTAATTATTTTACAATAGAATATTTTTAAACTTGTTATTAATATTTTATTATTAATATTTCTTTACATAACACTTTTAAACATAATATTTTTCCACAATACTTCTTATATAAACTATATTAAAATATATTGTTAAAATATAAAATCCAAATATACATATGTATATTTGTAATACTATTTATTTATGTCACTTTTTTCAATAAATAATGGAGGCGATCTCTTGCACCTGATGAAGACTGCAATTTTCTACCGCAGAAATGTAATCTGAAATGATTACAAAATTATGTTTAAATTACAATTCTTTTATACTTTAATATTGAAAACTGTTGTTAAAATATAAAGAATTAAATGTAACAATTGTTGCATTTAAATTGTCAGATTGATCTAACAATTGCATATATTGACTTGTTTTTTATAATTGAAATTTATTTAAAGAAAGGTAACTAATTTACTGTGTTAATTATAATATACTTTTTAAACTTATGTTTATAATATTTTTGTTTTTAATTACCTATAATAATGCTAGCAAATGTTGTGTCTTTCGTTGGTGTTAATTGTTTTTTTCCTGTTCACGACTATTTTTTGGAAACATTATCATTTAAAATAAATTTCAGAATATTTCTCGTCTGATTAGGATATGTAGTTCCTTCAATTGTTGAAATTTTCTTTTTTTGCAACATGAAAACCAGATGTAAAATAGTAATTAGTTTATCCAGATAGGATATTAAATTCTATACTGAAATTCTACATTGAAATGCGCCGTAATAGTTTAGTTTCAAAGCAACATTAAATAAAAAAACTTATAAACTGTTTTCTGATTTCTTTGTTTTGTTGAAACTCTTCTTCAAATTTGCAATAATCTTCTATGGTCATCAGAGGTAAAAGAGGTAATAATTTTGTGTCACATTCAAGAGTACTCTCACATGCAATATCCTAATAAATAAGTATATATAATTACACATAATAATAGTATTAAATTATACGTAATAATATCATTAAATACATCTATTTAATGAACTATATTATACGTATAATATAAGTGCAGTATTTCATAATATTATTACATATTGTTGCGCCCGTACTATTTCGCCGCTGATGCTGTGTGTGTTACAGCTGACGGACCGATCGATAATATCGATCGGTCATTAGAGAGTTGAAGCCAAATGGCATTTATTAATAATCTTTCTTATATTCGTTGTCAAGACAACGAATATTGATTAACAGTTTAAAGGGTCTCTATGACAGTTATAAACAAACTGTCATATGTCAGGTCTGAGATAGCTGTCAGCTCGAGCGGACGTTTATGATAGCTCCGGTCTTTAAATCATATTTCCGGTTTCTTATTGTAAAGTTCTGTGTTGTTTATTAAAGTATTCTCTGTTTATTCGAAGTGTTGTGTTGTGTTGTTTGATTTCGTGAGTTTCGTTGTCGTGCGTGAAATACCGGTTCGCGGACGCAACAATATATAATATATATCTATGGCTTGGTACAAGAAGTGCCAATATCAAATTTCTGCTTAAATAAGTCAAGACTGGAAATGTGTTGAAAACTATTGTATATTGTGTGCAAGAAATGGTAATGTCAAAATCTAAATAAAAATGAAGGTAACAGCTTCCACTTATACATCAAGTTATTTAATCATAAACAAAAAAATTTTTAACTGACATATCTTTAACGGACATATCTTAAGTTGATGAATATTGACATTGTCACTTTTTGCACCAAGCCACCGATATATATTAAGAATTAAATATTTATCGGGTTTTAGCATTTTCGTGGTACAAATTTTTTCACATTGTGACGACAGATCATGCTCGATTTCTGCGTGTTCGCTGCTTTTTTCCTGCCACACTGCTAGCATATTCATAATATTTAGCTCACTGGGTTCAAGCATACTGCAATAAAATTATAGATTACAAAATTATTATTATCATTATAGAAAGTGAGCGACGTATACGTAAATATTGCGGCACGTCTACGGAACAGAGAATAACTAGTAACAACAGTAGTTATATTGTATTAATTAATTAGAACATCCATTAGAGCGATTTAAAGTTTTATACGTGTTAGTGGGCGTGCGGGGGGAGGTCTGTCTCCGCGGAGTTGATCCGGGCAGGCCTTTTATCGCGGCGTCCTTATCACGCGTTTATCGCATGACACTGGCAAACATACAAAACAAAACAAGACCGACTCGGGACGGATTGTACAGCACTAAATCAAACTAATAACTAAGCTATGAACTATTGTCGTTAATAGCAATGTATAATGTGACATGGCAAACAACACACAACCAAACTCAATTAATGAGTACAATACACTCGTACAGCAAAATAATGTTCTGTTCCAAGAGAACTACCAGCGCAACCAAAATGAACAGAAATTATACATGGAATGGCAATATGTTGTCAAAAGGTGGCAGAATGCTGATAACGCATGGAAAATTGCAAATAGTGAAATTGGTCGACTAAAAAATGTGATCGAGAATTTACAAAAACATATAAATAAATTGAAAGCAAATACAATGAGAATGGGTGCGGCTGAATCAAATGGACCTATTACTCCTATTTCATCATCAAGCAAGAAACCTGAATACCAAACAGATGAGAAAAATTTAGCCAAAGAGACTGAGTGGATTAGGGTCAGGGCTGGGCAAAATGTATTTCAAATTGTATTTCAAATACAATAAAATATTTGAAATACAAAATGTACAATGCTAACATAATCTTGGTATTTAAATTATAAAATACAAAATACTTTTAATTTTTAATTTTGATTTAAAATACAAAAATTTTGTATTTTAAATAAAAAAATTGAAGATATTTTGCAATAAATACTAAAATTGTTAGTATTTAGTATTTTGTATTTCAAATGTGTTTGCCCAGCCCTGATTAGGGTGAAACACAGAACTAAAAAAAAAAAAAAATGAATGAGACACCTTCCCCACCTCTAGTTGATTCTCAAAAAAAAATACAGCTCAAATTAAATGTAAAATAAAAAAAAATCAACTCCACCCCCAATTATGGTGGATAACGTTAAATCATACGAAAATCTCTATGAAGATTTAGCTAATCAAATCTCAAAAGAGGACTTTCAAGTAAAATTCACTAATAATACAACGGCAAAAATCAATTGCAATAAATCAGAAAATTTTAGAAAAGCAATTAAGGTGCTGCAAAATAATAACTTCAATTTCCATACTTATGAAAAGAAACAATCTCGACCAATTCGAGTTATGGCAAAGAACTTACATCACTCGTGCAAATCAAAAAACGTTATAAAAAATCTAAGCAATGATGGCTTCAAAATTATCATAGCGGATAATAAATTGTCATGGAAAGAGAAAATACCATTAAATATGTTTATGTTGACTTTTGATAACAGTGAAGATATAAAATAAATTTATAAAATAACACATATCCTGAGATGCAAGGTTAAAATCCAACCCATGAGGGGATCAAAATTAATCTCTCAATGCAAGAAATGCCAGGCATTTGGGCACACTCAAAAGTTCTGCGCAAAGGAACCAAGATGTGTTAAATGTACCGGTAAACATTTAACCAAAGAATGTCAAAAAGTGGAAAACTAAAAACCAAAAACACAAAATGTGTCAATTGTGGCGAAGAACATCCAGTCAACTATAGAGGATGTATTGTGGCCAAAGAATTGCAAAAAATCAAAAATTCAAAAGTTATAAAGGGGAAACCGGTTAAATACATCACCAAAAAAAATAAACCAATTCAACAAAAAGAAAAACCAAACAATGTTAACAAAAACAAAACAACTTATGCCTCGACTGTTACATCGGGCTTAACTCATAAAAAATCACACAATCTGGAGAACAACGATATTAACAAGACCCTTTAACTCATTCTTAAAAAAATCACCAATCTAGAAGATGCGTTTTCAAAAACGAATGAGCGAGTTTAGAATCTTGAGAGTGGTACTAAGAAAAAGACTTCAAACCCCAAAAACAAATAAAAATGGCCAATACAATAAAAATCATGTCCTGGAACGCAAATGGATTGCTCAACCACCAACAAGAGCTGCAAGCAACCCTAGACATAAATAAAATTGATGTGTGTCTTATTTCAGAGACACACTTCACTAAGCAATCCTTTATCAAATTCAGAGGATATAAAGTCTATCAAACAATCCACCCCGGAAATGCTGCCAGAGGTGGAAGGGCGATAATAGTTAAAGATAATATCTACCACAATGAAGAAGTTAAAATTGAAGCGGAAGACATCCAGGCGACGGTGCTGAATATTAAGGCCAAAAAATACAATATAGTTGTGGTTAGCCTGTATAGTCCATCGAAGCATAACATCAAAGCTGAAAGGTATTTTGAACTCTTCAAAAACATAGGAAACAGATTTATCATTGGCGGAGACTTCAATGCAAAACATACGCATTGGGGATCAAGGCTAATAACTACTAAAGGCAGAGAATTATTAAAAGCAATAAATAAATATAAGTGTGAAGTTATATCAACGGGCAAACCCACATACTGGCCTACAGATGCAGACAAAATTTCAGGTCTGATAGATTTCTATATCAGCAAAAATATATCTAGTAACTATATGAAAATAGAAGACAACCTGGAGCTTAGTTTGGACCACTCACCAATTATTCTAACATTAAGTGAAAGCATCATTCAGAAACCGCGCAACCCTGTGATGGTGAACAAGAAAACAGGCTGGGAGGGTTTCAGGATGACAATAGAAGAAAGGATTCAGCTAACAGTGCCGCTACAAACAGAAGAGCAACTGGACTTCGAGGTGGAAAAATTTGTCAATGATATTCAGCAATCAGCATGGGAAAACACCCCTGAAATCAAAAGAAAGCTTAAGGGTAACAATTATCCTAAGGAAATTTTAAAATTGATCTCAGAAAAAAGAAAAGCGAGAAAAAAGTGGCATCAGACCAGGGCACCGCAAGATAAAGCTAGGCTGAATAAACTCACTTCACAAATAAAAGAAGAAATCAAGCAGTTAAAGAACGACACCATAAGTGAATTTTTAAGGGGACTAACCAATGATTCTAGTACAGAATACTCACTCTGGAAAGCTACCAAAAACTCAAAAGATCATGCAAACGCCTCCTATCAAGAACATGCACAGTAGCTAGGCTAGAAATAATGTGCAAAAAGCATTAAGATTTGCGGAGCACTTAGAAAACATCTTTCAGCCGAATTCTACAGAAAACAATGAAGTACTACTCAATGTCTTCTGGCAGGATAGTGTCGAAAGTCCGTTAACTTCGCCAGCTGAAGTTAAAAGGGAAATAAAAACGAATATTAATCCAAAAAAATCTCCCGGTTTCGACCTTATTACTGGGCAAATTCTAAAAGAACTTCCTAGAAAATCCTTGGTGAAGCTTACTAATCTGATTAACGTTTTATTACGTCTGAAATATGTACTTCAACTGTGGAAAGTGGCAGAGGTTGTCAGGCAGAGGTGATTCTAGAACCTGGTAAACCACCCCATGAAACAACATCATATAGGCCAATATCTTTCCTGCCGATTATGTCAAAATTATTTGAGAAGCTTCTGTTAAAGAGACTAAAACCTATCATTGAGAAAAAAATCTTATTCCAGATCACCAGTTTGGGTTCCGGCATCAACACTTCACGATAGATCAGGTTCATCGAATTACAAATATAATTGAACAATCACTAGAGGAAAAAAAAGTCTGCTCGACAATATTTTTGGACGTTGCTCAGGCTTTCGACAAAGTCTGGTATGAAGAGTTAAATCACAAGCTCAAACTGCTTCTTCCTGTCCAATGCTCAAAAATTCTAGAATCTTATATAATATAGAGAGATACTTTAGGATTAAGCAAGAAGATGCTTATTCTGATTTAAGGAAAATACAAGCAGGTGTGCCGCAGGGAAACGTATTGGGACCAGTACTATACCTCCTATACACTAGTGATCTGTCAACGTTTGAACAAAATGTTGTTGCAACATTTGCTGATGATATGGCAATCATGACTATTGGAGACAATAATACTCAACAGAAAAACTCCAAGCTGGTATCATCCAGGTGCAAAGATGGACTAGGAAATGGAGAATAAAATTAAATAAAGCAAAATCAGTGCACATCGATTTCACTAACAAACGTATCGAGCACAAACCAATCTATATCAACCATCAAGTCATTCCATATGAGAACACAACCAAATATCTAGGCATGACTCTGAACGCCAAACTCAGATGGAAGCCGCATACAAAGAAAAAACAAGAAAAACTCACGCTAAAATACAGAAAAATGTATTGGTTAATGGGTCGTTATTCTGCCCTGTCTGTATATAATAAGCTTATGCTGTATAAACAAGTTCTCGAGCCAGTGTGGACCTATGGTATTCAATTCTTTCTTTTGGGGTTGTACCGGCCAAACAGAAGTATCATACAAAGATTTCAGAATAGAGTACTCCGTGGTATCGTAGATGCTCCTTGGTACATCCGAAATGACAATCTGCATAAGGATCTAGATGTGGAAACGGTCGATAGCGTCATCAAAAAATATGCTCAAAGTCATGAACAACGACTTCAACGGCACATCAACGTAGAGGCTCTGCAGCTCCTGAACAACAATGGCCTGGTTAGAAGGTTAAAACGAACAAAACCGTTTGAACTAGTGTAATACATATTACTATAGAACAGAACATAACAATAGTGCACGTTAAAACAGTGACTAATACTACCAGAAACAAAGTAATTGTTACAGAATATGTACTTTGTAAAAATTTTTAAGCAGTAACAAATTAGGTTAGAAACAAATAGCTTATTGGTGTATATGTAAGAGTGTTTATCAACTCTCGTCGATTCCAGAATCGGGAAAAGAAATATAGCCGTTCGATGCCTATAAAATAAGCTTTTATTAGTTACATTACTGGATACGATAAACAATCATACAGATTTTTATAACTCCTAACCTATAAAATAAGAATCGAAAGCAATGCTCTTTCCTACACAATCCTGAATGATTCCACGTGTCTCATCCACTGGTTTCTATTAAATTCGAATTGACTGTTAAACAAGAATTAACAATTAAACACAAACAAGTAATACTTATTACATATGAAAGGACTCTTTCGAATATTTTTCGATTATCGACTTTTTACTAGGAATATTCTTATTTCCAAGATTATTCAAACGATTGCGACGGTTACGTCCTAGACGCGACCCCGGTTATTTTGTTTAATTTATTAGCGATTGTACTTTGATGGAAATGGTAAAACGGCAGGATGGTACTCAAATGATTCGACACTGAATTTATGTGATATTTAACAAATAGTCTTTATGTAGAAAATACAACTGTGCGAAAACGACTGAGTTTCGATTTAATAAATTCGGCCCGACTGTCTCTCTATTAATTTCGATTTGTGCGACTGTTTCGACTGGTTCGGCGATAGAGAGTGAGAACTCGATCTCCGTTCTCCCGCAAGTCAACTTCCTCGAATATTCTCGATCCTTAGATCAGTTACAATTTAATATGAACAAATTATGAGGAGCGGGAATGCGTGCGCGCAGGATCTATTTTATCGAGGCGCTGCTCTCGATCAACCGGCTGCCGTCCGCTGGCGCCGTCTATCGGATGCTATTGCTTGCATCTTACAGCTCGGCCGTCCTGGCGCTGGACTTCGTCCCGAAGTTCTCATATGTGCAATTGTTGCGCAATTCATTTCGTGTGCGTAATTGTGAACAGAAGTAAAACAGTTCGTTGTAGTCGATTCGACATTTAACTTCTATAAATCTGTGGTAAGTTTTATACCTTAATAGCTACAATTTTTCTAGACTTAAAACATTCATTATTACTAATTCTTATAATTAACGACTAACCTAATAACCAAATTATTTTGTAGATCAATTTTCGCTTGGTGGTTCATCGGGAGGACTACATCGGATCCAGGGCTTTAGACGATCGCAAGACAATATCGTATTGAGCGGCTTCGCTGTTACGTTAAAGCCCGGTATGTCCTGAACCACATAACGATTATTCCCTAAAATCTTTTTTATTGCGTACGGCCCTACGAATTTTGGGCGCAATTTTGCGCTTTCGCCCGGAGTAGCCTTTGTTTTTCGGATCATGACGTAGTCACCTACGTCATAAACAGTAGCTTTCTTTAGTCTTGTATCTCGATATTTTTTATTATATGCTCGGATCGAATCTATCGCGTTTCGCGCCGCCTGTCGTGACGCGTCTCTATCTTTCTCCAGGTCTGTATCCTGTCCCACCAGGGCCTTGGTGAAACGAGCCAACTCGTGATCGGCATGGCTGCGCTGCTCGAAACCAAATAGCAGCTTCGACGGGCTCGACTTCGTGACTGCGTGATATGTATTGTTAATCACGTATTGTAGTGTGTTTAAACTGTTTTTCCATTCTTCCGGCGAGTTAATCATTTTGGTGAGCGATGATTTAATAAACCTGTTAACGCGTTCGACCGTCCCATTGGCCCATGGGGCCGCTACTGAGACCTTTCTGTGCTTTATTTTAAACTTTTCTATTACATCGGCAAATTCTTTTGAGGTAAAGGCCGTACCTCTATCGGAAACTATTTCTTTCGGCCTTCCGAACGTCGCGAACAAACTTTCCAAATTAACTATGACTTCTCTAGACGACGTGGACCGCGTCGGAACCAACCAGCAAAATCTAGTAAACGCATCCACTATTACAAGAATATGTTTAAATTTGTCGGCAGATTCCTGTAATGGTCCGAAATGGTCGAGATGCAATATCTCGAACGGCGCTGACGCTGAGGGATAAAGACTTGTCTCTCCCTCGAAACGCGTGACGGAATCGTTTGCCATTACGCAGGTGAGGCAATTTTCTATATAACTATTAATTTTTCTACGCATAGAGGGAAACCAGAAATTCTGACTGACTCCCTTGATCGTTTTTTCTAGCCCACAGTGGGCCATATCGTCGTGATGTGCTCTTATCACACTGATTTCCATCGCCTCAGGTACGACAAAATATAAATTTCCATTTATCTTATAATATCGCAAACCGTCATTTAGTTCGAACTTATCGTTATCGGCGATTTCTAATTCGTCACATATTTTTTTAATTTTAGCGTCTGAGAGCTGATGAAATTCGAGCTCCCTTTCTAGCGGCAGTTCATGCACGTACGCTGCGCATCGGCTGAGTGCATCTACATGCGCCATTCGTGTACCCGGCCGGTGTGACACTCGGAAACTATAGTTCTGTAAGGTAAGAGTCCACCGTGCTATTCTCGGGTTTAAATTCGCTTTTGATACAGCGTGTACTAGGGCGTTGCAATCGGTAACGACATTAAACGGTATTCCATATAAGTAGAGATGAAATCTCTCAATCGACCTTACTATCGCCAACATCTCGAGCTCAAAACTATGGTAATTTTTTTCAGCGCTATTCGTCGCCTGGCTGAAAAACGCTATTGGACACCAAGTCCCGCTCTTCTGCTTCTGCAGCAATATAGCGCCTAGGCCGAGACTGCTCGCATCCGTATGCAGTTCGGTCTCCAGGGCTGGATTGTACAACGCGAGAACCGGTGACGAGGTAAGTTCTTTTTTCAGTATCTCGAACGCTCTAATGCAATTTTCGTCGAATAAAAATTTTATATCTTTTTTCAACAAATTATATAACGGCTTAGCTTTCAACGCAAAATCTTTTATGAATTTTCTAAAATAGGATGCTAACTCTAAAAATCTCTGTACACCATGTACGTTCGATGGTGTTTTATAATTTCTTACCGACTCGGTATGTCTCGGACTCAACGTCATCCCGTTTTCCGAAATTATATACCCCAAAAATTCTATCTCCTTTTTGAGGAACAAACATTTTCTAAAATTTAATTCAAATCTGTAACTTTTTAAGGTCATCAACACCTCGGCCAAGACGTCCAAATTTTCTCGCACTGACCTCGACGGAATCAACACGTCATCGATATAGACGATCACCTTATCAGCGCGTATGAGCGGATTCAAGATCTGTATGATTCGCTTTTGGAATTCGGCTGGCGCTTCCGAATAGCCAAAAGGTAAGCGAACATACTCGAATTGTCCGTCGGGTGTAGCGAATGCAAAGTAACGCGTCGAATCGGCATGCACCTTGATCTGGTGGAACCCGTCCTTAAGATCAAGTAGCGTGAATATCGACATTCCACTTAGGCGCGACAAACAATCCTCGATCAACGGAAAAGGATATTTTTGCTTAACGACTCGACAATTTAACGGCCTCAAATCAACGCAAAGCCTAATTTCTCCGTTTTTCTTTCGCACAGGTATTACCCTGGCGCAATACGGCGATACGCTATTTTTTATGATGCCACGCTCAAGGAGGTCATCCGTAATTTTTCGTATTTGTATGCGTTCCGCAAATGCGAAACGTCGCGGCGCATACGCGTAGATGAAGTCATCCTTCAAATGAACTCTCACCTCGTAATCGTCATCGACAGGTACGATTTTCTTTTCTTCTATTCTATTTAATAAGCTGAGCAATTCGTTTTTTGTTTCTACATCTAAGTTACTAATATCTATTTCAAAATCTTTTTTCAGATTAACGGCATTCTCCTTATTTACGTATAACGGCAGTTGTTCAAACAACCTAGCAGTGCTCGTGCAATCTGCTGACTCACGGCTTCGTCTAATCAAGGTGAGTTTTTGTTTGTCAAGAAACTCTCTTCCCAAGATTATGTCTCCGTCGAACGGTTCGTCTAATATATACAAATCAATCTCGTATTTTTTTCCGCCAAGTTCGCGCAATGTTATCTCTGTTTGCACGACTTCTTGTACGTTTAACCGTACCCGACTGAGATTAATGAATTTTCTATTCGGCAATTTAAAATTTTTAATAAACGGTCTGATTTTTTCTAAGCAAATCCCTTTATCGACAAATGAGACTGGACTTCCGGTATCGACTAACGCACGAATTTTACATTCTTTCTTGCAGATGCTCGAGATTTCAGCGAATGGTTCGGTATTTTCCAAGTTTCCACACGCGGCTACGGAAACGCAAGCCACCACCTCTTCTTCCTCGTCATCAACAGTAACGGCGGCTGCTACCGTGGCCCTTGAAGACCGCTGAGCCGTCGGCGGATGCCCGCCGTTTTTCTCCTTGACCTTAGGGCAGTCAAACTGACGGTGCCCTTTGGACTTGCAGAAGAAACACGTGAGTTCACCGCGACAATCCTTATGCGAATGTCCTTTTTTTCCGCAGTTTCTACACTCGGAAACATTCACGGATTTTACCGCACTCGCGACTGCCGTGGATTTTCTGTCTGACTCAGTGTTTCCTTCCGCAATTGTTCGCATCTTCGCTAGAAATCCGTCTATCGAGGTATCACTTATCGAGAGGGCTATAGCCCTTAGCGAGCCCTGCGATATTCCGCCTATCAGTATGTGAATCGCGTCACTCGTTGGCAAATTCAAATTCTTCATAAGCGCGAGCTTCGCGATCGCGTACTGATCGAAGGATTTTTTTCCCGGAATCCATTTCCGCGCCTCTAATTTCTGCATTATCTTATAAAATGGCACTTGTTTTTTGAATATTTTCAGTAAGTCTGTTCTCAACGCCTGCCACGACTCAATCGTTTCGCCCGTCTGGAATTCATACCATTGGCGGGCAAACTTTACCAGCTTACTGGACGCGGCCAGCAACGTTATCCCGTCGGACGCGCCGTGGATTTCCGCCACCTTGTCCACGCGATTCGACCACACTTCGACATTTTCGTCGTCACTCCCGCCAAATTCCGGTATTTGTGAGGCCAACCAGCTTACCGCATTTCCGGCCGGTAAGGCGCTCGCATTCGACATTAATCTACTCTGTCCGTTATTTGAATAATGACTATGGTTCGATCTTACATTACCGGATGATGATCTCTGCAGAGTTACTAGCCCGCTCGGATCTGCTGTCCCCTCGTCCTGGGCTATCGGTACGCTCGCTTTCTGTGGCGCCAGCCTCTGCAACACCTGGAGCAAGATCTGCTGCTGCTGCTGCATCATCACCGACATCTCTGTGATAGCCTGGCAGAAAGCTCCTGCGTTTGGTGGATCTGCATCGGTGGCTCGACTCGAGGACGACTCTGCTGGATCGTGCATCACACCCGTCTCTCTCGGCATCTCCAACGTCCTCTCGGTATGGCTCGTCCTTTCCAGGTACGTCAAAATCTGATCTACCAATAAATCGCGGTCGTTTGAGACCGGTAATTGGTATCTTTTCGCTTCTCTCTGGAGCTGTTCTAATGAAGCCTTTTCTAGGTCTTCCCTGTCCATCATGGATCTGGTTTTCGGCATTCTATGACCCGGCACGACTCCAATCAGGAATCTTCGGCCTCTTAAGCTCAACGCGGATTTGAAAAATCCGTTGATCGACCCGACACGTTCCAACGGCAAATTTTGCCCTTTTTCGACTCGACGCGGATTACTTCCGCCCGTACACTGCTTCTACTCGACACGACAAGAGTTTTTGTCACTTTTTCGACTCGGCGCGGACTTATTCAGTCCGAAAAATGTTCTAATAAATGTTCCATTACGACAAAGTTTGTCTAACTTTATTCGACTCGACTCCGACTCTAAGGGCCTGTAATCCCTTCCGACACGACACGGCAATGTTCGACTTTAAATTTTCGATATGGGTTTTTTGAGCCCGTAATCCCACTTCTGAGCTGAAAGGACTCTTCCGAATATCTTTCGATTATCGACTTTTTACTAGGAATATTCTTATTTCCAAGATTATTCAAACGATTGCGACGGTTACGTCCTAGACGCGACCCCGGTTATTTTGTTTAATTTATAGCGATTGTACTTTGATGGAAATGGTAAAACGGCAGGATGGTACTCAAATGATTCGACACTGAATTTATGTGATATTTAACAAATA